CCCCAAAACCCCAAAACCCCAAAACCCCAAAACCCCAAAACCCCAAAACCCCAAAACCCCAAAACCCCAGGATGAATCTAATGATTGGATACAGATTTGTTATATTTTGATTACTTTATATCCTAGAGAATTCAATCAAATCATGGTGGTGAGAGACCTTTTCCCTCAGCTCCTCCTCTGAAGTGACTCCAGTAATTTTTCTGTTGATGAAATATGGGCTTGATAAGAGAAATCCTATCTCAATAGAATTTTCGCTTTGCATGTTGTATAGAGGAACCTTTATGACATATCTGCATTTAATATTCCAAAGCTCTTGAATTGGCAGCCAAATATCAGGAGTCATTGAAGGATTGGCAATGACATTGTCTGGTTTCTCTCTTTGCATCAGTAGTTTAATATTTGAATTATCATCTTCAACTGAAAATTATGAATTACACTTACTCTGGACAAGCTCTTTATTGATTCCTTGGTAATCATCTTGACTGATCCCAACCCAAAGCCTGCTAACTGGATAATAGTAATCATGAATAGAATCATAGACTGCTACTAAGTACGAAGTGATCTTTCCTGTATTCTTTCCTTTACCAAAAAAAGCCCCGATTGGGACAACATTAAAAGTAGGAATATCCTCTCCAGGATCGGCACTTTCGGAGAATTTGTCTCTCTTGAGACTCACCCATTTAGGCTTCCTGGACTGATAAACATAGGATGATTCTTCCTCAGAAGTTGTTTTAAAAACATATCTTCTGCATCCTTGAGCAGTTGCTTCATCACAAAGGTTCTGTGCTTTCTCTTCAAAGTCGATGTCTCCGATAGAAACCTGTGAAATTAGTAGAGAAATATTACTTTTTCGAATTTAGAAAGTTTGACACAGCTGTCATCAAGATTTTTGCAAACCTCTCCAAGAGCTGCCTTTCTCTCAAGCAATGGTGAGTTTACCATTGTCTTTCCATTGATTAAGAGAAGATCTTGGATGTACAATACAGGCCTCACTTCCGGTTTATCTCCTTTGAGCTTGTCATACATGTATTCTTCAAAGGGATAGAACTTGGAAGATGAGTCTTGGTACGCAGTCACTTTCGCATCAAGTATTCATTCCTGGACTTTTGAATCCTCTAGAATTGACAATATTTTCTTGTCTAGTCCAAATGTTTCAGCCTTGACATCTTGATAATTATGGAACATTATGAGTTTTGAGTCCTTATTTTGACTGTAATGAATTTGGACCCTCATTCCGAATGGGTCAAGCTCATAAATAGCTTCATCAGACCTCCTTCTAAGCTTATGTCTGAAGGAGGAAGAATCATGCTCTTCACGGATTACCATGTCAGGGTAGGGAAGACCGACTTCAAGTGTATCAATTTCTCTATCAAGGTAGTGACCAAGTACCTCAGACTCAACTCTCTCAATCACTCTTGCATTCCTTTGTCTAACTTCTTCTGTGCCTATTGAAGATGATAAATTGTATTAGATGAAAGACTGAAGAAGAAATTGAGACTGACCTTCCTGATTTAACAATTGAGCTAGAATTATATTAACCCTGCCTTCTCCTACTCCAATAAGCAAGGAGTTCTGCATTAGCCTTATGATATATTTCAGTTCAAGTGGGGACCCTGCTTCTTTGAAGATTGACTCTAGTAGTGCAATTTTGATTTCTCCTTGAGCCAAATAATATGATGCTAGTGACTTCCGAAGCATTGACAAAGTCAGTTTTGAGTCAGAATTGAAGTGAGATTGTTCAAAATGTCCCATCATGTATTCTCCAAGATCAGGTCTTGTGTCTGGAAGATTAGTTAAAAATTACAAAATGAATCGTCTGGCTCTATTCCTCGTGAATTCAAATAATTCATTCATCCGATTCTTGTGATGTCTATGTTTGTCAGATAAATTACCCTCTTCTGTGTTGAAATTATACGACAACTGTGGCATTAGCCTAAATGGCCTGTCTTGAGGATGCACAAAGTTAAAGGTAAGTAGTCTAGATGTTAGTACAAATCTTACCTGAACAGATCTAGCACATTTTCCTCAGCATCCTCACTACTATGTGACAATTTTCCATCAAGAATATCATTGGTCAAATCAAGAATCAACTGTCATTTATCACTAATTTTATTTGCCTTTGCAGCTTCTTCGAATACTTCAAAGATAGTCTCAGCTGGTAAGCTATGAAGTTGATCAGCCAAATCATCTTGTGAGTGTCTTATCAGTGCCTTCTGATCATTAGAAAGTTGATCGATTGGATTTAAGCTAAAGTTAGCATAACTAGAACTTACATGTTAGTCCTAATTTTAAACATCTGGTTCTTGTTAATTAGCTTATTCCTTGTTTCAGCTATCTCATTGAACTTATGCTCATGCTGTATATAGTCATCTATCGGCTTGATGCCATATTTCTGGACTGTTTCTGTCCTTCCAGCTAAATCATATTAATTTCAGAAGGATTTTAGCCACTAATTTCCGTTGAATTTTTAAGTGAGGGAAGAGATGGTAGAATCTTACCTGAGATGCCAAATATCCTTCTCCAAAACCTTCTAAAGAACTGGAATGCCATTGTTGATATAATATTATAATTTCAAATATTTACTATAGTGTGGGGTTTTGGGGTTTTGGGGTTTTGGGGTTTTGGGG